TCCTTTTCATATTAATTTTAGTCTCTGTGAAACTATTTACTTAATAGTTTAAATTGTTCAATTAATAGTTAAAAGCATTTTATCTGGTTCCTATGCAAATTTTCTAGTTGCTTTCTTAATATTGTTACCTTTTCCTAGCCTGGCTATATCTAGACGGTTCTGTTTGAGTTATATCTAAAGAAGTTCATTTCGAGTCATCTCTAAGAAGTTTAATTCAAGATATATCTAAAACTGTTTATGGAGATTTCTATCAAGAGGTTTAGTCCAAGTTACATCTAAAGAAGTTTCTGGAGATTTAAGTTTATGAAGATTTATACCTAAGAGTTTGGTGCTATCCGAATAACTTCGTTCAAGTCCCTTTGAAGAAGGCCTATGCAAATCTCTCCTTGTATACTACCTCCTGTTAAACAGATAAGTCTATTTTTTTGAATAAATCATCTAAATTTGAATAAGTAAATCTCTGTGAATTAGAATTTGTTACTGCCTTATCTAAAACTTGGTTTAAATATAATATCTTAATGATTAGTGATTTGATATATTTTTATCACTAATCTGTAGTCAAGTATAATAAGTTTTAAATATAGTGGTGCCCAACTTCTTTTTCAAAGTAATACGAGTTATTTAATAACCTGACCCACTCCCAAAATCATTTGAGCTTAAAACACTATAACAAATTGATAAAATAACAAGTATCACATTACAAACAATAACATTTTTAGATCCTTAACACTCTTAGGTTGTTTAGGAATTCTTTTACTAGTTGTGATTTTATTTTTAATGAGAAAATTGCCTTTAGAGCTGTTATTAGAGTAAATACCAATAGTTTTGCCTGATGTACTAGTACTTTGGTCTAAAGCAACGATGTACATTTTCCAAAGAGTCCGGTTCCTTTACTCATTTCTCAACCATATATCTAGCAGACTAATTCAACCTGTACTAACTGTGGGGCCAGATTTCTTCTTGTATGAATATGTGCAAGAATTTAAGATTTATTGATTTTTCCATTGATTTAATTCGTGTAGTAGCCATGGCCCCTGTGCCACTCAGACTGCGTAGTTTTGGTTATTCGTGCATCTGCGCTATAGGTTATGGTAAGTCTTACCTTCCTTGTATATATGATCAATTTTACCGTAATATTTTTACCGTATATTGTCACAAATGCCAAAAATAATAATAATTTTATTTAGTTATTTAAAGTAAATAAAAAAAAATCATTTTATTTTTAATTCAGCATTTAGTCAAAACATACCTAATTAAACAAATTTATAAACGATTACAAAATACTGCCGAGTTGCTAATATACGTAGGAAATAATTACTTAACATATTGCTTAACCACGTAAGTTTGATAAACTATGAAAATTTTGCAAGCCGGCAATATTCAAAAGATTGGTTATGGAAGGAAATTACATAAGGAGATCAGTGGTTAACTCCACAGCGAAGAAAGTGGACTCGAAAAGAGGTAGAGAAAATAGGGTGACAGTATACTTAATAAAATATCTATTTTCAAGTTTTCGTTGTGTTTTGGGAAGAGTATGATGTGCCCCAAGCCTACGAAATGATGTGGTAAGTGTACCAACACATTATTAACATATTGTAATATTATTGAGATGTGGCTGATTTCGAATTATATATTTTTATATTTTGTGTTATTTCCTCAAAGATGAAACGAGCCGAAAAAATAAGTTCGTTACAATATTCTTCTATAGCTTGTAAGAGCTATTGTAGCTTTGTATGCAAGTTTTTTAATATATTGATTTTACATCAGCCTTTGGTCGAAGATGACTCCCAAGTATATGGTTTCTGTGGCAAATGAAATAACCATGCTGTTTTTACTATTGGTATTTAAGAACCCATTTTCTGTAAATGGTACAACTTTTGTTTTTTGCTTCAATAGATAATTGTTCCTTTTCGAACAAGTTGTTTACTATGTTTAGAAGTGATTATGAATACTTTAAGATTGTTCCTGCATCGTCTTCTGACGATAACTGCTATAAGGCTATAATATTAGATATTAGTAACTTTTTTGACCAGTGTTTAGAGAAGATTGTCCTCTAGAACTGACTAAGGCATTGCCTCTACGGTTGCCTTTTTTAGAGTGGAATGGTATTTTTCTTTAGGCTGGCATTGATCCATTTGCATATTATGACTGGGGCGTCTCATTTTTTTAGACGTTTCTATGTTGACCTGCTTGAGGCATTATTTAAAACTCCGCCATTTTGAAGCCTTATTACGTGTTGCCTACATCTTGGCGCAATAGTTTTAGTCATGTTTAAGTGGTTATGTTATAATATTTACCCAAAGTCAGTCCCCAAAGATATTATTTACGAACCTACACTTTACAAAACCATTAAAAAATAATGAATATCTTGAAAACCTTGCTTTACTTGGTGATTTTATGTAAAATCTTTCCATTTGTAAGAAAAACAGTAACTACTTTATTTATGTTCCTATTGTTGTATTCTGAAGCTTTTTATTTTTTAGGTCTCCTACGAATCTCAAGCACTTAACATGAACAGTGGTTACAAACCATTAATCAAATTGTTTAGAAATTTTTTTTAGCCAAACTTCGTTACGTCTCTTCTTAACATTTTGAGGAAAAGCTTATTGCTGTTATGTAAAAAGGTATGTAATCAGTCATAAACCAATTCTATGTAGAAGACAAATGCCAAGAAAATTGAAGCATTTACTTCAATAACTGGGAGCAGTATTAGAATCAAACGAAATAATATAAATAAACCTGTAAGTAATATTATTTACTTACTCACTACCTGTGACTCATCTACACACCTGAAAGTAAAGGTATAATAGCATATCAGGAACAGTTAGAAAATTACCTGTAATATTTAATTTTTTTATTTGGTAAAGTAAACCTTGTAACAATTTCAGATAAATGTAAATTTCTGAAAAGCAAAAGCATCACTGATCCAGGTACATTGATTTTGTACGTTAGACATACACAGGAATCATAAAAGTAACAAAAACTTCTTTTAGAGCCACCGTATGTCAACATCCTTTTTACAATATTGAGTTGATGGACTAAAAAACCATAGCGATTGCTATAGAAATAGAAAGTAGAAAGATATGCAAGAGTTTTAAAAATTTACACTGGCAATCTAATGTTAATACAATTAACAAACTTGTGTAATCTTTGAAAACAAGAAAATTGGTGGAGGTGGTGGCAGTAATACCCATAGGGGTACTTTCTTGAATATAAAATATTTAGCAATTTCTTTCTGTGTAACAACTGAAGGAAGACTCACTTGTAGTTGAACAATACATCTGTTATGATGTTTTTATTTCAGAATCAAACATCAAGTACGGGAATAACTTTTTAAATTGAGCCAAATTATGATCTTCAAGAAATATTTGAACAAGAACAACCATCATTATATTATGTTTTTGGTACATAGTTTTGTAATGTACAAATAAGTTATAAACTGGGAAGATTAGGAAATAATCTAGCTATTCTTCATCTTTTTTTAGGATCAATGTTGTTCGAGATAAAAAAAATAAAGACATTTTACTATTACTTTACCAAATACGTGCACTGTAAAATCAATTCACGTTTTTTATCATTATAAGTACTGGTTACACAAATAATAATTTTATTCCGGTCTTTCGCGCAACTCTGTATAAATTGGTGTATGCGCTAAACTATTGCGTTCTCACCATTTATTAGATAGGCGACTCCAGCAATCTCTCGAATTTACTTTAAGTACATTGTATCAGTTTATTTGTGAAATAAAATTAATCATGAATTTTTTTCATAATTATTTTTTTATAAATAAATTTTGCTGTTACCTAAAAGAAAATACCAAACTCAAATTAAGTTAATGTTTGCTATTAATTTAAAATTGCCCTTTTAAAATTGAATTTTCTTATTTTTCATTATACAGGGTATTTGAAAATAAATTTAAAAAATATTGATTTGGCTAACTATGGTCCTGTAATTTATTTCTTACATTAAATTCAATACTGAAATAGTGTAAAGTTAAATAATTCAAAAAGTAATTATTTAAAAAAGTATTATTTTCCATGTTTTATCATCAAGAAATCATTTTTAAATTATGAAGGTAACAAATTTATAAAAATAATTTTTTTTTGTCTTTAACACGCAAATTTTAAAATATTTCTACCTAAATTGATTTGTTTTGCACTTATGAGATAATTAAACTTGATTATATAGGCTGATGTTTTTAAAGCGGAAAGAAATGATCACATTTTGTTAGGCTGGACCTAGATGCTAATTATTATTTTTATGGAATTATTTTTGTTATATTGCCAAATTTTAATTTTTTAAACCAAGTAGTTGTTGAGTTTTGGCCAAAAACAAATTCAGGCGAAATTCATAAAACACCCTGTATTTAGGTAAAGAGATGTGATAGACCCATTAATAATGGATGATTTCCAATCATCCAAGTGTCATATATCTACAGTTAATGCATGTACACAACATTCTGAAACCATTTGTATACCATACGTATTTATTTTAGAAATTGTCAATTATCAGCATGTTCAATAATTAATATCGCTTGTCTGTTAAATTTTTTTTTGAGCTTGATTAGAACGTAATCTCTCTGAATGACATGAACTTTCAATTATTCCAAACACATTGTGAGTAGTTCATCCAACGGAAGAAATTACAGATTTAATAGTAAAAGACTCGAGAAAAAAAACGCATTACCCTCTAAATACTTAAATAGCGTAACACTAGTTATGTTTTGTTAAAAAACTATGGATTACTAGATAGACCTTTGTCAGTTGCTTTAAGTTCTGTAAAAAATATATTACCGGTTTAAATTTATAAGAAGCATCCATTCTGACATTCTTCTCGGTGTAGGTAGTTGAAACTTTAACAAAAAGCCTTTGAATAATAGAACCGTCCAAATAGGATTTTAATAAAAAGATAGTATAACCGACTAGTTCTTTTTCCTATTACGTTTTAATAGGTTTTCGAACTAGCACTATGGTATTTGAAGAAATCAAAATTCTACTCACCTATAGTAATTCAAAATCTGCGCAAAAACTCCTGGATGCCTGTCGAAGAAATACTCGTTGAGGATCGGATCGTAGTTAGCGAGAGCCTCAGTAAGCCTGGAAAGCCTAGTAGCGGGAATCTTTTTGAGCGTAGCCTTATAGGTTTCGTAACGAATACCGCCGACGTTCAAAATGATACGATTCTCGCCATCCATGCTGCCATTGCTTTCTCCCTAAGGAATGTCTGAAAAAATAATAAAATGTATAAAATGTGTATTAAAATAAAATTGTGTTAATAGTACCTTATCTGGTTGCAAAAAGTAATACGTTGTATTTTTTGCTTGCTATTTGTAGTTTGGTACAGGGGAAGGGGGTTATTGACATGGTGTAATAAGGTGTAGTGGGAGCTGTAGTGTAATCTGTTAAATTCAATGCAAAGTTATTTATAGATGGATTTTTCATTTTTTTACTGGAAATTAAATATAAGCTTCTAGATATCTATAAAAATAAAAACTCTCTTTGGTGCCATCCATAAATCATGTCACATGAATTTCATGATATTTGGACCCTCCCACAGCTGGTAACATATTTTGCAAATTTACGTCTAGAAATGAATAAATAAATTAAAACAGCTGTTCCAAAATTAGTTTTTTTATCAGGGTTATTTCGCCTCGTGTTCTGTGTAGGCTTTGTTACTGTTTCTCAGCGCCAATTTAGGAATAGCACTGTTAATTAGAACCAAACAGTGAATGGTCGAGTGGGGAATCCTACCAAGGCATCAGAAATAATTTTAAATAATTAAATTAAACGAAAAACTCCTGGCCAACGCCAACGGTGGGATTCGAACCTGAAACTCTTGGATCCACAGGCAGAGACTCTACCACTGAGCCACCCACCCCTTCAAAATTAGTTTTATTTTCATTTAAATTATTTTTTAATAAAATCAACATCACTTATTAAAGGTCTCTTAGGCGGTCGCGGTAAGCCCATAACACTTGTACAGCAAGTGTAAACTCTCCAACAAAACAATTTAAACCTTGTTTTCATACAGATAGAGTTGGTTATATTTTTAAGTTGTTCGTTAATAATTTAAATTTCGTATTTAAATACTTAGATCTATTAGATTTTGAAATGTGACGTGACGAAATTTAGGACCCCTCCCACCCCTTGTCGCACAATGTCACACTTTGTCGATCTACCTTCCCTTTAACGTGTGACGTAATGTATGGATGGCTCCTTAGCAAGCATTTTCTGTCATCCTGCTACTTCCGGTGTTAGGATTTTGGTCATGTGACCGGATATTTACGTTTTGCAACGAAATTACGGATATAGCTTAAACGCGTTTATCTAAATCTAAGATGATATTGCAAACATTTTTTAGTGTCTGTGAAAGCGTTTATATGCAAAGAAAACAACCTGGCGAAAAACGAATAGGTGTAAAATCGAAACCAAGAGCGAAAAGTGGTTTATTTTCTGTCAAAATATTTTAATGGCTCTTAACTTAGAGTATCGCTTTTACAAGCATTTTTCAATAAGTAGTTCTAGCCCATTTTTTTTTTTTTGAAAACCCGAGGTGAATAGAAAATTTAATGGTTTAAGTATTGACTAAAAAAAAACTTGTAAGGCCAGTAATACTTCTAGTTGAGAGTTGTCACAGATCAACGATGTGTCTTTTTCTCAAATTACCATAGTATATGCGTTAGGTTCCCACACGTCAAGTAGAACAGGGACTGTAGTAGATAATTAGGTAATGACTCTTGTAGAATGTCTAATTGCTTGATTAGAGGTGTCAATAATTAAAATTAAAGTATCGTTAAACCAGAGATCTAGTGACTACCATAAAACAACAGGTAATGTACTTATCAGCAGGCGGCAGTCTCTACGCAGAGACGTACCTACTCTAGTAGAAAATTAAGTATTTAAAAGTACAGAATGTAGGTTGAACATATAAAATATAATTATTAAAAAGTATAAAGTGGTAACTTGGTAAAAATAAAAATCAGTATGACAAAGTACGAACAAGTAGCTAGGTCATAGTGATTGTTTCTACCCTTACATTGTGAAATCTATTTAAAATAAATAAAATATTAAAAAATGAAATGTAAAAATTTCACTATTGTCAATTCTGACAATAGAAGTGTATGCTTCTGAAACAATTGTCGTTTTTGAATTACTCAGATAAGTATTTTTATTAACAAAGTGGAATTTTTACATTTCATTTTCTAATATTTTATGTATTTAAACAAATTTAAACAAATTTAAACAAATTTAAACAAATTTAAACAAATTTAAACAAATTTGAACAAATTTAAACAAATTTAAACAAATTTAAACAAATTTAAACAAATTTAAACAAATTTAAACAAATTTAAACAAATTTAAACAAATTTAAACAAATTTAAACAAATTTAAACAAATTTAAACAAATTTAAACAAATTTAAACAAATTTAAACAAATTTAAACAAATTTAAACAAATTTAAACAAATTTAAACAAATTTAAACAAATTTAAACAAATTTAAACAAATTTAAACAAATTTAAACAAATTTAAACAAATTTAAACAAATTTAAACAAATTTAAACAAATTTAAACAAATTTAAACAAATTTAAACAAATTTAAACAAATTTAAACAAATTTAAACAAATTTAAACAAATTTAAACAAATTTAAACAAATTTAAACAAATTTAAACAAATTTAAACAAATTTAAACAAATTTAAACAAATTTAAACAAATTTAAACAAATTTAAATAAATTTAAACAAATTTAAACAAATTTAAACAAATTTAAACAAATTTAAACAAATTTAAACAAATTTAAACAAATTTAAACAAATTTAAACAAATTTAAACAAATTTAAACAAATTTAAACAATATTACTTATGAAATTCAGTTTCACTTTTACTATCGTTATCCAAATTAACAATGAACCTTTCTCTTGGTATCTTTTCTATATCAATATATGTCTTTTCCACCTTTTTTATATGGAAAACACACTTGGTCCAGTTGCTATCAGGAATTTTTGTAGATTTGAATAAGAGCTACCACAGTCGAACTTAAGGTTGGAGAAGTATTATTTCTTCAAACTGCTGACTTAAGCTGACGCCATATATTATATGTTCAATTGGGTTAAACATGCAGTGGCAAGGAGAAATTCTGAGCACCGTATGTCCCAAGCTCTCAGCTAATGTGTCACAAAAATATTTCTATTGTATTGAACAGCTTTCTAAAATTTCCAGTAACTGAATTTTTGTGTACTTTTTATCAAAGTACAAGTCATTGTTTACCATGTAATCTTGTATAATGGCTTTTATGTCGTTTGAACAAGGTGACTTTTCCAGTCTTTGACTGTGGTATTATCCATGAAGATAATACCACGTTCAACTAAATGGACTAATAGTGACACGAACTCACTGTAAAAGAACACAGGGATAAAAAGAAACGAAGAATGTGGTAAACAAACACCCTTATTTGGATAAAAAGGTAAGCGTAGACTAAAATCACACATACAAGGGGCCATCAAAAAGTACTTGTCTTAATATTAAAACTGGATCGTTACAGAGCCCTCAATTATAATATTATTTAAAAAAAAAAACATATTATTTACTATTTCATGATAATACATATTTTAATCCGGACCTGGGAATCTCTTAAACAACAGATAATATTATCGCTTATCTACAAATCGAACAATAGTGATAATGAGGGTCGTCAGCTAATATGATTTATGATAATCACTAGATCTCTTGTTTTACTATACCTTGATTTTAATAATAATTGGCTTTATTTATTTTCGTAAACTTTGAACTCAATATAAACAACCACATAACAAACAGTTGATTGATGAAAATGTTTTACATAATAAACTGGGCACAAAATATGCCGGATTTAAAAAATCTTGTTTCTATACCCACATGGGTCTTTACCTACGCGCAGACTATAAAACGAAAAAGTATATTTCGCGTAGATGGTGAAACTGTTCTCAACTAAAGAACTGTCTTTTGAATGGACAAAAAAGTGCCTTGGCTCATACCGTTCAGAAAAATCGCGTTTAAGCTATATTTCGAATTTCTTTGAAAAACTTAGATATCCGGTCACGTGATCAAAATTCCTACATTGGAAATAGCAGACCCGGACCACAGAAAATGCTTTCATAGGGATTTTTTATTGTTATAGACGTCTAGAAGCATATTATTTCATTGCCAGCAAAAAACGAAATATTCAGTCGATAAGCAACTTTACTTTGAATTTGGCAGGTTACACGACAACTCCCCTTACCGGGACATAGTACATGCAGTTCACCCCCTTCACTGCACCCAACTACAAATAGAAAGTAAAAGCGCGACATACCACTTTTTCCAGTCAGATAAGGAACTATTAGGAGATATTGGTAACTATAAATTATTAAAATATTTAAATGATTTGTTTCTTGATAAAAGGCTTGTTTAAAATGAAGCCTATTTTTTCAAAAAATTATCTTCAGTATTAGATTTTGGGTTACTTGCAATAAATGTTGTTTTGAATATTGCACCGTTTTACCCCAGGCTGTAATATCAATATCAGTACCTTATAATTTTTTTAACCAGAGTATTGTATACAATAATAAAAATTTTCTTAATTAATAAATTAGGAATTTCATAGAATTTGGGAATAAAATTAGGATTATTTTTGTTACGCTTCCAATATACTCTGACCATTTAGTAACACTCCATGAAATTTATATAAATATAAGTTACTGTTTCCATAGTATAAGAATTTGTTTTTAAACCTTTTAAACGTATAAAGTTAAATAAAAGTGACTATTTGACAAAATGTCACCTTCAACAAAGAAAAGAAAGAGTAATTTACCAAACACAACTGCAGTCCTAAATTTTAGACTATTCTCCGGAATTGTAACACCATTAAATCTGTTTTCATTACTCTACGTTAGCAACTTTTCAAAGTTTTTCCGACATTTAATTATGAAGTAAATGATGGTAAAAACTCCCATAAATAATTTACTTCATTTCGAGTGTGTCTCACGAGTGCTCGTCGTCCCTATTTTTGTACCAAAGATTCATTGTTTCTAGTGGCAAACAGGTTGCAGTGACTAACTATCTCTAGGGATCTCGCGAGTTGGATATTGCGGAAATATATGTACATTGTTTTTAGGGTCTATATATTTTTCGGTATTTTTGGTTTTTATTAAAATTCAAAGATACGGTAATTTATTA